GACTATTTACTACCTACAGAAAATCCCTTAGGGAATGGGTTACTAAATAGCTGCTGTAATATTAGAAGTGTATAGCATGACAGTACTGATCAAAGAGGGACAAACATAATGCCTTTCCATCAGTGGAGGTCAGAATACACTGTTAGCGTTTGAGATCTCTAGATGTGCTAGAGTGTGGACATAACAGTACCAGGGAGATTATATTACCAAACCAGCGCAAAACAAGGAATGTTTTTTTTGGAGTGGAGAGAATGGTGGGACAGGAAGATAACTTTGAGGAATGACTGCCTGCCAGCAATTAACTTAAGATTTAGCATTTGACAGAGCCCAGCTGAGAAGAAAGAACAGGAGGCAAAAGAAAAAAAGCAAAAAAAGACAATGGAGGGGGGCAAAATCCAGTGACAAAAAACCCCCACCAATCATGTACTCCCCCAATTTCCTGCTTCCACTAAAAACATGAATTGTTTCCTTCTGTCTCATATTGGTGACAGATTGTGCAAAATGTATGTGGAGAGCTGGCTGGAACATAGCTCACAGACTGCCAAGGACCAAATGCGTAACAATTTCAAAATGACAGCAACATAGCCATTAAAAATTTGATGAGGAAGTCTTTTAAGTCATAGATTTCAAATCCCCTTTTAAAGCAGAGGAAGTATTTTATATTAATTTTACCCATTGAGAAACACAAACAGAGTGAGAATTTGCTTATCCAAAGAGTTGCAGGCTGTTACAGGCCAGAACTTAGAACAGAGCTCTCTTTTATGAAACACTCTATGCTTGTGATTAAACTGTCTGCAGATTATGTTTTTCCCCCATAACGCAGTTGTGTAACGTCTTCATTTCAGTCTTCAAATTGGAAGGAAAGTAAGGTTCATCATAGGAGAGTGTCGGATGGCCTAATAAAATCTCTCTCTCTTCCCCATTTGTGGCGTTTGATCTGCACTACAGTATTACCGCTTACTTAACCAGTTTGTTCCTAAGATGGCATTCACATCAGGTTATAGCAAAAATATATCCTTTGAATGCAGGATGAATTGGAGTGGGTTACGTTCTACAAACTCCTGCTGTTTTCATTGGGCTTGGCTACGTAATTAAAGATCAAGTCAACTTCCCAGTGTTGAGATTCAGAATGAAATCTACCACATGCAAGGATGATGAGCCTATCCAGCAAGGAAAATTAAAGATTAAGTGAGTCAAAACTGCTGCAAAAAAGGCAAGGCCACCCAGCAAAGTTTATGAAAGGCATATTCTCACTTACTGTGTGTGAGCTGCATAGTGTTAAGAAATAATCAGCAGCATACATTTCAGACTGGGAGAACCAGTTCTCATTATGCGTTTGTCAGCTCGGAGAATGAGAAAGATGTGGTGTAAGCATTGGTCTGGATGCTGGAACTCATGAATTCTGGTCCTGGTAATGACAAAAGATCGCTGTGTGGGCAAGTCACTTAACCCCTCTGTGGTTCTCTTTTTTCAGAAGTGAAATGAGAATAGTATTTCCCACTCAGGAATGTGGAGGAAGATTAATTAGTGTTTGAAAAGCCAGTCTTGCAGTGGGAAGAGTTATATAAGAGCTAAGTGTTTATTAATGATCGCCCTTTTATAGAAACTACTTCTTAGCACAGTGATATGGTAGATTAATAAAATGTGCTCTGTCTGGAAAATAAGAGATTAGAGTGAATTCAGGAAGATTCAATCTGTTGGAGAAACCATGAAGTTCTGACTTAGCTTTTATTCTAGCAAAATCTCACTGAAGCCAATGGTTCTTTTGCCTGACTAATATCATGATACCCTTTTCCCCCTACAAAAGTCTAATTTGCTTGGGGGATGGGAAATCTCTGCAGTTTCAACTCATGGCATTGCTTTGGACTTTTTCAATGACAGAACATGAAAGGTGGAAAAGTCTAGACATCAAGAAAAAAAGCTACTGGAAGATGCAAATCTTTGGTCCTACAAAGGATCTGCTGGGACTGTGTAAACAGAACTCTTTTGCCCCAGCTCTGGTTGTGAAGTCCTCCAAATTCCTTTTTAGGTAGGCATGTCTCAGCTTGCTGCCACCCTTGAAGGCCATCTGAAAGAGTTTTGGCAGTGGGGAAAGGCTCAGCTGCAGAATTACTACTGCCTCAGCTTGTATTTTCTTGGTGAGCTGATACTTTTTTGCTGGAGAAGGGCAAGTCTGCAGACCCATCCAGTTTCCTATGCCATCCTAAACTCCACAGCTAAAATCCCTGCAGGATCCTGTAGGGAATGGAGGCAAGGCCGCAGCCTGGGGACTTCCTGCAGGGAGTGCAAGTTTCCTTTTGTGCTTTGAGGGGAAAAGTCTCATGAGACCTATATTCAGGGACATGGTGCTTTTGTAAGGTAACAACGGTAGAGTTAGAATTGTGGGTATGTTTTCAGGTAGAGCTGAATTAAATGAAGTCTGGTAGAATTTCTAGAAATATTTTTGTTTCGAAATTTTAAACTCCCACTAATAGGTAAATGGGACAGGGTTTTAGAGCTTATCTCATTTTGCAGTTAGGTTAGCATTAATGCAGGATCAAGCTATATAAGAGCAAGATAGAGTTGGATAATATGTATCACAGCTCTGTTAACTCCAAGTGCCTCCTCCTTCGTTGGTACAGAACTGATCACCTGGTAGTGCTCTGAAAATAATTGAAGTAGAGGGAAGTTTTTGTGCAGTATCAGTAATTCATACCAGAAGAATTTTTTTTAACTTTCATCTTCAAATGCACACAGATAAGGGGGATAGAGTAGGATACTTAGTATGATACTCAAATAATCTGCCAGAAATGTAAATCTCTCCATTCTAAGAAATACTGTAGTATTTGTGTGATTAGAGGTGGTTGCCTTTTGGAAATAATTTAAACAGTAATTATTTTGTAGCTCTCTCTGTTTTCATGATTACTTTTGTGTTACACTTTTTCCACTATTGAAAAAGTGGAGACAAAGTCATACAGAACTGTGGATATCTTGTTGTTCGACTCAGTCAGCATCTCTTCCACTGCTTGTCCTTTGCTCTGTAGGACCACAGAGGAGGAGGAGTTTCCCTCTCCAGAATGCATTAGAATACATGGATGGTACTAGAAGAAGGGAGACTGAACTGACTTTTTTTGTGGAGAGCATGCATCTAACAACAGTCTACTTGTTCAAAATGTCTGGCAATAGAATTAGGTTTACATATGAAATGAGGGCAGATGCTTCAAAGAATAGATGTGCATATGTATCTGGGCATTTTATTTCTCCCCAGCTTTCCCCCCTCCATCCTGCAGGATTTCTCATTTCTAATTCAAGGGCATTCAAAGTCTTAAGAAAACTGGCTAAGGACGCATTACATTTGGAAAAAGCTTCTGTCCTCTTATGATGGCTGTGAGATCATCACCTTGCAGAATGGGGAAAACTGGGATAAAAGTATCTAATGTTCTGGATCGCTCATCTTATTCATATCATGAGGTTGTTTTACACGTTTCTTATAAGGCAAAGTATTTTCCTTGAGGGAGTCTGCAAATCAGCTAGAAGAGATGGAGAATGAAATATGCTACCATGCTAGGCTTCCATTTACAATTTTCTATAATCTGTTCCAGAATGTGGATCATCAATTGACTTTTTGTGAGTAGTAGCAGAAAAGTGTAATAATGGAAGTTTTATTTATATGTAAATGAATAATTGGGGTGGGTCTTTTTTTACTGTTTTTTGTTCTGATTTATGGAGCTTTATGACTTTCCCAGACTTGAGTGTCTGGGGAATGGGAAATAAGTATCTGTATACATTTCAGGATACATTTTCAGTATTGGGGCTGAGTGAAGTTTCTAGGAGTGGATGGTGACTTCCCCCTTGGAGAGGTTTTCAAGGAGTCTAAAAACAAGACAGAGAACTAGGGACTGCTGGGTTCTGTTCTCTCTTCTGGCACCACTTCCTTCGCCTTCTGAAGCAGGCTATGCAGGACATACTACTGGGCATGACATTTATTTCTGTGTGAAATCTTTGAGGTTAATGAAGCTAATAAAGTGAATGAAAATGTGGCTGGGAGTAAAAATTTGCAGGAAGGGCACTAAGCTTCTTTGCCTTTGTTTCCTGATCTTTTAAAATGGCAATAATTGTATTTGGTAGATGAAATAGCTGTATAAAAGAAAATGGGCATTCAGAAACTACTTTGAAGATAAAAAGAGATAACTTTTAGAGACAATAACATCAATTAAAAACTTTATAGAAGCTGAATTTGTATGTAATGAATCTTACGAAGCTTGCCCTTCTGGTGAGCTCCCTGTGAAAATGTAGACCTTTCATCACTCTGAATTGTTTGATCCTGTTCTTAATATCTGTTGACTTAATCCTAAAATAAACAGAAGTTCAGAAGGAGGATTCTCTGTCACACATTATATTATTTACTGGGATGCTGAATATGAAGTTTACCTGGGCAAATAAATATCACTACTGCATGTTCTTCTAGCAAGAAGCTGTGGATGATTTCCACCTCTGTGCCTTGACTAGGAATAAAGCGATCATTACCCTTTTACAGAAAACTTTTTTTTTTTTTGTAAATAAAAATAAAAATACCGTTTCCTTTTCTCAGAGCTCAGTAATGAAGAAAATAATGTCCTTTCTTTTCAGTCCAGTTCCCATTGCTGTGCGTGACGCAGCACCAACATCGGAACTGGTATTTCATTTAATTTTATGTGCAATCTTGTTAGTAACCTTAGCAGAGAGGATTAGGGGTGTATGAGCTGCAGAGACTGAATGTGCGTTTGCCTAGGCCTGTAGGAAGGACTGCTGGCAGCATGGTGGGAAGAAAGCTTGTTTTGGGACCTGCGGCTGCAGGGCTGCCCTCCTGTCACCTCTCACCAGTGTTGGTTGGAAGAGTTTCATTCGGGCCGGCGCATGGACCGTGTGGTGCTGCTCTCGGGGGAGAAGGGAGCGTTACTTGAGAGGACGCTGCCGTTGTTGCAGATCACACTGATGTTTCCATTCTCTCTTCCCCTCCCTCATATCTCCTTTCCCCCCAGTCTGTGGCAAGCGTTACAAGAACAGGCCTGGGCTGAGCTACCACTACGCTCACACTCACCTTGCCAGCGAAGAGGGTGATGAAGCCCGTGAGCAGGAGACCCGCTCTTCCCCTGTCCACAGAAACGAAAACCACAAACGTAAGTAGTATTTTCCCTCTGCCTTTGAGATCCATTTCAGGGATGTTGCCTCCACCCTGTCTTTGCCTTGCGGAGGCTGGCGTGATTGCCTGGCTCCGTTGTGAGTGATTGGGACCTGGATGCTTGGAGCTAATCAGCCGCAGCTCACACGGGTGCTGGCTCAGCTAGTCAGAAATTCATTTCAAACCCAGCATTATCTCTGCAGCAAGTCACTTTTCCATTACTGCTCCTGTGGGGAGGAGGTGGCAAGGAGAGGGGGGAAAAGAAGAGACGCCCAACCTGCCCGTCATCAAGCAGCCTCCCAGTGGCTGTTAGCAGGGACGTCAAGGAAATACACATCCAGTAGTTTGAGGGGCCTGCCTTTGTTTTGCCTTTGAAAAAGATATTTATCTATATCTCGGTTTTTTAGGTATGAAATTCACAGCATCTCTCCCCCTTATCCCTGCATCTCCTCCCAAATGGCTTACCCTCAACTTTACCAAAAGCTGCTTCTTACAGTTTGGGGAAATCTGTGAAAAAGCATCAGTACTGATCTGTGAGGAGGAGAGCTGGAATAGGAGAAGAGAGAAGAGTTATGTGCCTAGATTCCCCACATTTGTACAGGGCTGAAAGAAAGAAATCTTAGTGGTCCAGGTGGCCCTATTTGACTGTCCTTCCTCTGCTGCTTAGGCACAGAACTGGGTGTCAAGGAGACTGATTTTTGCAAGTCTCTAAGCCCCTGTTTCTCATTTTTCCAGTGTGCAATACTATGTGATGTTTGCTTTCACCTTGGGATTTGTCTAGCTCGCTTTGTTCACTTTCAGAAAGTCCTTTCAGATCACCATGTGAACTGTGTCCTTTTAGTTCAAAGTAATGAACAATGTGGACAAAGGAATAAAATGCTTATGGGGAGAAATATACAGGCAAACGCTTTCTAATACATTAAGAAGAACTGGAAGAAATATGGAAATAGGGCAACATTTTCTTTCTAAGCTGGATAATTGATAATTGTCCCCAGGGAAGTGTGGGAGGGGGTGTTCTTCCTCCAAAACATCTGCTACTAGCCACTGTCTCAGCTTGAAGGGCCGTTTAGTGTGATCCCATTTGGCAGTCCCTACGTTTCTGTCACTTTTATGCTCTACCTTTTAGTTATTCACATGTCTTGTAGGTTCACAGCAAAAGTAATTTTGACTCCTCCAGCTGTTGATAAACTTGAGCTGTCAATGCACCAAGAGCAACTGCTTGGGCAGGCTGAAGAATGTCAGTGTTCAGCCAATAGCTTTTGTTTACTTATAATTTACATCATCTCTGTTGTTTTTTGTTTGTTTTTTGTTTTTTTTTTTTTTTTCTCCTGTGCCTGCAGAAGTCACTAATAGTAGCATTTCTGAGAAGCATATTGCAAATCTGTATTGAATTAATATTGATAATGGCCTTTCACAGATGCCCATACAAAGAAGGGTAGCATCCCTTGCCCTTCACCTTGTCATAGAAACTGAAGACAGTCTCAATCTTCATGTTTCTGGTGCTTAGGAAATGATAGAAGTTAGCAAGAAGAGGAGCCAGAAAAGCTGTGGCATGGCTAGGAACAGCCAGCCTTGGCCCATGGAAAGAAGGGTGTGTTCTACACTATGGGAAAGGGTAGAGCGGGAGCTGCTCGGGCTTGGGTTCCCCCAGAGCTCCTGGGTGATGCATGTGGCAGAGGGAAGCTGCTGATGCACAGATCCCCAAACAGGCAGAAACTTAGAACCAGTGGTGTAAGCCACGCTGAGGTCCAGATTCCTGAGCAGAAAGAATCTGCTTAACAACCAGCCAGGAGCCAGTGAGGTACAGGCAACAGCCATGCAAATGTGAAGATGACCGCTGGGGAAAGTCCCAGATGCCGGAAGGTAACTCTCCCAAATGGCTTAGCTGTCGCAGTAGCAGTTTGTTCCTTTTTGCCTGTTTGTTTACAGCCTTGAGCTCAGATCTTGCATCTTTGCTCTTTCACTTGGTGATATTTAATTTATGCTGCCATTTATCTTCCATGTGAATGCTAATTGTCCACATTGCTAATGTGCAGTCATTAAATGGTCCCTTTGTACAGGGGGATGGTGAGGAGCCAGGGCATCAGATCCTTTCTCTCCCCTAAGAACTGCTAGGCATGTGTTATGAATTAGATTTGACAGGTCTGCAGTGTTGCAAGGCTGGGGCTTCCTCTCTGCATGGGCTTGGGGGGTGGGGGTGCGGGAGGGAGGAAGGGAGGGAACGCGGGGGGGATGTTAATCCAAACAGCTAATCCGCAACCTACTGAACAGGAGGACCAGAGATATAGTATAGAGCAGGGTCTGGTTGTTTGCTTAGCAGTGTGTCAGAGAGATATGAGCAGCCTGATTTAGAGAAGGCAAAGCAAATTCAAACCAGCCATTTGGAATTTGCCGTGCTGTGGGAGGTGAGCACTGGGTCACCAAAGTTCAGGCGGGCGGCTGCAGTATGAACTTCCTTCCTTTGTACCCGCGTCTCCTCTGCAGCCTCTGCTCCTTGCAATACCTGTGGTAACAGCAGCCGTGCTGATGCAGGAGGGAGCTTTCTGGGGCAGGGCTTCTGCAGGATTCAGCTATTGATGCTCTGACTGGTCCAGCTCAAGAACTGATGGCCTCTTGTCTTGCTGCACACCCAGTCCCCTTTATCTTTACTCTTCCCCTCATGCACAGAACAATTTGGGTAGTTCAGTAAATTATCCAGGGTCTGGAAAAGAGATGTAGATAGGAGGAACCTACCTGAAACTGAGAACCACTGAATAGATGTGTATCACAGGAACTGGTCCAAGCCCCAAGTCTTGCCTCCTTGGCACATTTCACCATCCTTGACTGTTGTAGGTTTGTTTATCTACATCTCTCTCCTTCTGTCCTTCTTCCTCACTTATAGATTACCCTTTGGTGATGGAAGATAGTTCAACAGTCTTCTCTGGCCTTTGCCTTTCCTAAAACATCTTAGCCTGTGTGTTAGTTGCTTTGTTTGTATGTCTTATCTAGCCCTTTGACACAGATAAATAGCCCTTCCTCAGTGCCTAGCCTTGCCTCTGTCTACACACACGTTTATTTTTTACCTACTCTCAGAATTTTTTCACCTGAGTATGGAACTGTGAAAAGGAAGTTATAGAAAACCCTTAAAAAAGTCAATTCCCCCCCTTCCCCAACTCCACGGATAAAAGGAAATGATCCCACACCACTCTCAGCCTTTTTTTCTGCTGACTTTTCCTCCACATGTTGGCACTGAGACCGTGAGATTTGTGAGCCCAGGGTGCATCCAAGCCTGCCACAAAACACCTGCTGTTTTATTCCATCTCACTCCATGGGTACCGGCCAGCTCTGGGGGCAGCTGGTGCTCACAAATTTTGAGACACTTCTGATATAGGAATTACATTAGACTTCTATCTATTGAAATGTCTGTGTGAATGAGTGTACCAGTATAAATGCTCTTCCTTAATTCCTGGGAGAATAGGATAGTGTGTCTACATGGAGAAAAACTTCCTCTCCCTTAAAGAAGAAGAGTTTTCAGTGGCATTTTGCTGTGCGAAACGTTGGTTACAGGCAGCTGTGCAGTAAACAGCAACTGAACAGATCTTATGCCCACAAGCACTTTGGCCAATGACAATCCTAAATAAAGCACATTGTGCAGGCTGTTGCTGGCCTAGCTGCTGTGTGCAGGTTGGTCCATCCTACAATACACGTAGTTAACGAGCATGCAGTCCTGTGCCCTCCTGTCACTATGCTAGCTTGTGCATCTGACCTGCAAAACCACCTGCATACGTGATTTTGTGGCATCATCCCTCTGTGCCCAGTTCCATTGCTGATTTTATGTTGTGGATAAATCTCTACTGGAGAGACCAGCCAAAGTTGTTTGTGTACTCTAAGCATAATTGGATACCCAGTCTCCAGAGATAAAAAATTAATGTGCTAACCTCAGTGTGCCTCCAAGCTGTCCTCCAGCTCCCCCACACAGTCATCTTTGAAACATTTTTATTTCCATCCAGGCAGGGGGCTGGCCATGAATAAATGACGAGAGTCAGCCCCTCAGTTGGAGGCGAGCTGTTTGTTCCTCTCCACAAGCAGCATCAATTTGAAAAGCTACATCAGGCCTACTTCTTCCCTGCCTCGGCACTGATCCTTGCTGGGGCCATGATGGGAGCTACTTCTGAATGCAAGAATGCATCAGTGCCCACCTTGCGACAAGATACCCTGCAGCAGGTGCCTTTTTGGTGAAAATATATACATTACCTTGAGTTGGCTTCTCATTAGTTTAATCTGTTTGTTTTTTTCTTTTCCAGAGCTTGTTTTCATAAGGAAAAAGAGTCAGACTACTAAAAGAAACAGTAGTGATTGCAGGGTTTGGAACTGTATAACAATTTCCACTCGGATCCTGTTTGCAGCTGTACATTTCTCAGACTTCTGTACCTGTGTTTCTGGATGAGGAAAAAAATAGATCAGTTGCTTAGAGTTTTAGAACAGTGGAAAATCCTAAGCTTATCTTTGATGTACAGGGACCCATAGGGGACTTTTTGTTGTTTTGTTTGGAGTTGTGGGGGGTTTTTTGGTAGCTTGAGTTTTTTTTGATATACTGCTTGGCCAGGACCTGAAATGTTGTTGTCAATGTGCAACTCTCATTGAAGGGAAGCACATATTGCTTCTCAGTGGTTTGTGGGAAAATGTTTCCAATTTGACTATTAAGTTTTTGAAAATTATGTGTTACTTCAATAACATGTCAGTTCTTGAGACAGAATATTATTTTTATATATATGTATTTTCTTCCTTTCTTGCTATCTCCTTGCTTTTTTCTCCTCTGTGTAGAATTTGAACCAAGTAAAAACCAGAAGTTTTTACTGAATTTGGATGTAGGAGCTCTGCCTTATCACACTCCTCCAGTGAGTAATTTCCAGATCCAAAGCCTGCAACATGTTTCAGGGACCCATTTCATGACATTGGCCATTCTTACCTGAATACTGTGGGATGCTGCTGGACAGGCCTGTATATTGGGCACTGTAA